CCCCAAAACCCCAAAACCCCAAAACCCCAAAACCCCTTGTATTACTAAATTATTGAATTTTCGGTTTGGAAATAATCCTTGCAATTAGAACTTCATGTTATGCCCGCAAGTGAGTCACTGTACAAATGTAGTCATCGGTTCATCTGCTGATCTGGTTTGCTGTTCATAGAAAGTAGTCTTCTTTCCTTTGCATCTGCCTCAGGTGTACATTCCTTCCTTGAGCTTCATATTGGCAATCATGAAGTCAGATCTTTTAGAATCAACGATACTTTTCTCCATCTCCTGTCTTTTCTTCTTAGTATCATCATCTAAAAATTCCTTTGGGTCCATTGAAGCGATCTCTTCTGGGTTAATGACACCATGGATGATCTTCTCCTTGAACTGAGTGTTTCTCATAAGATTTGCAAGGACTGTTCTACTTTTATTTGAGTAATCAGCCTTTTGGGCTCCAAACCTAGAGACAATGCCGTTCTCAATTTTAATGGAAAGCACTTTTCACTTTTTCTTTTGGTTTGGGGCTGCTTTCAGTAGCTGCTTCTCAAATCCTATAGAGTTTTAGCGGGGGTGTTTACCTTTCCTGATTTTGTTCCGGATGGTGTCTTCGATCTCATTTTCACTTATGAACTCATCATAATTCTCTTCATTCTCGTGCTTCTTCTCTTCTTCGTAATCTAAATCAGCTTGACGAACTCTGGAAGGAGCAGCTGGGACCTCTGCCTGCACTACTGCTGGGGGAGTCGAAGGAGGGTTTTCAGCATCTGTGTCCTTAAGCGAAGCTTTAGTAGTATCTTTCCCAGCTGCTTCAGGAGCGCCATCTGCATTCTTTGCTCTGGCTTTCTCTTCATTAATCTGCTTCTTCCATTCACCCAGAATCTTTTTGGCAGCTGCACTGACCTCTGTGCTTTTATGGGAGGTCCATTTGGTCATCTTCTTACCCGCCTTGGTTGTTTTGAGAATGTTGATGTTGACGCTATACCTCCCCATATACTTGATACTATCCAGTATTCCTTGGATATCGCTCCCTGCTTCTTCAATTTTCTTGATCAGATCCAGGAACACCTGGATTGTATCCGCCTCGTTTATGGTTGATCCGGACATGGTTTTGGAAAATATTTTAAATCAGTGTAGAAAATCAGCAAGGGGTTTTGGGGTTTTGGGGTTTTGGGGTTTTGGGGTTTTGGGGTTTTGGGG